GGAGAGACAGATGCTGATTAATTATCTCGTAATTATTTTCTGATACCTACAGGGGTCCTGGATCTCTAAGAGGGATTTGGACTCATCCAAAGGTCATGAAGCTGGCTTGGGAAAGTGACATCAGGGCCATCACCTTGCATGATCCCAGGGAGTACCGCTCACAGGGACAGCCAAGTGAGTTGTGTCTGTCTAGAAGAGCTAAGAGAGGGCAGCTCATGGGAGAGAGGAGCCTGGCGCAGCCTGTGTGGGAGGCGGCAGAAGGAGGTGTCTTGCAGACTGTGTAGCCCTTCTTTCCCTGCTGCGACAGTCCTCAAACAGCTGCCTTCCAGCACCCAAGAAGTTACGCCCTCCAGCTTTCTTGCTTTGAGACATCTCCACCATGCCCTCTTTATTTCTTTATTTGGGACTTGCAGGGGCCGACACCCTGGGAAGCCCACTGAGTGCCTCCTAGACCCTGACCACTAGGTCAGAGAGACTGAACAAGGACACATTTCCCGCAGAGCTTCTGGTGTGTTGTCCGAGAACTTGCCTTTCATCATGCTGTCAGTCTTATCAGGGGTGAAGAATGGAAGACTGTGATCTGGGCATAGTGAACTGGAGTCGGTCTCCTGGCTCTGCTGTCTTCTCTGAGACTATCTGCAGGGGACGTAGCCCTGGCCCCGGGCAGGTGCCTAAAGGGCCTTATCGACCTTGGCAGTCAATCATTATAGGCTTTATCTGAAGAGCAATTGGGAAGCCACCGATGTGTTTTATTGAGGCGGAAACTGCAATCAGATTCTGAACACGTGTTGGTTAGGGCACAATCCCGAAGGCATGTATGGATGTAATATTAACCTTGCTGGCCAAGTGCAGAGCTAAGTGGCCGGAACACTGGGAGCCATCCCTCCCTGCCCTGTACCCTCGGCCTTCAGTGGGGCTGCGTGGGTGGGCATGCTCTGGACATCTACACAGAATCCAAAATAAAGCTGAAAGTCCCTATTGATCATAGGAAACAAATTTCCTTAAGAACTTACTATCTGGAAACATCTCCCAGGAGGCAATTTGAGCTGGGCCTTTTGGTTGGAGAAACTAACAATAGCTGATAATTTTGATGGGGCAGGAAAGGGACCATCCAGGGTTGAGAAATGAGACCTGACACCCAGAGAAGGAAGCTTTCACAAAGCTCTTAAGGCCTTTTCTTTCTTTTTTTTTTTCTTCCTTTTTGTCTTTTTTCGTGTCCGGCAACGGACCGCAACCCTCAGTG